TATATATAGATATAGATATATATATATATTTTAATTGCCAAGCCTAAATATATTAGATTCAAGTTTTAATCGATCTTATTTTATACATTCAGATTTTACCTTTTCCTCTTTGAAATATTCAGATTTAATCGATTACCATATTTGATACTTTAATTTACTAAAGAATTGTTCTTTTAAACTCGAATATACAATGTTAAAATGCTAAAATGTACATTAAGAACAAAGATTAACAACTATTCAATTCACATTGAGAAAAAGAAGGAAATAATCACAATTAAGCAAGTAAATTCTGCCATGAAATCGAAGCTTCACCTGCATTAGCATTGACGATTTGCCTTCTGTTCTCATGTTTAGAAAGTTTAGTCTATTTGTTTATTATGAACTGGAAGAGGTGATAAAATTATGAGTAACAGAAGAAGAATATTATATTAATTGATGAATGTAAAAGATAAAATTTGGTTGAAGAGAACCTCTTGTGGTGGTGAAATAAAAAAAAAATGGAGAAAAATATTAGGATGACTGGTGCCAAGCCACCATATATATAAATCCCAATATTTTTCTTCCTAATTTTCTGTAAAATTCTAAAATCATCTTCTTTCTCTTGCTATATTAATCGTCTTATCATTTTGAAATGTTCATCATCCTTTTTGTTTTTTTGTAATTAAATTCAGTTGAAGAGACCGTAGTGCTTTCTGATTTTTATTTTTCACAGAGCTAACAACTTGTGCTATCAAAAACATCAAAAACCTAGTAACATTTTAGTAAGAAAGTCTGAAGGAAAACTCAAGTACCTGTAGTAGATAAAATCTTCAAACTCCATTTTTCTAATATGTTGGGTTTTCTTTAATAGCACATAGATGGAAAAAAAGGTGAGAAAAACTAAAAAAAAAATTGAAAAAAAAGAAAAATGTAATTGTTGGTCTTAGAAGGTGCCACATCACTGGGTAAATATTTTGTCGAAGAAGCAACATTCAGGAGCAATTTAATAACTAGCTAGTTCAATCCGCTAGACTTTCGTTGTTGCATAGTAAATCAGATTATTTAATTCATATCAAATAAGTTGACAACATGAAATATTCTAACATACATATAAACTCTATTTGCATTCTGATAACCAGTAATTAGACGGACTCTATTCATAAAGATCTAAATAATGCGGAACATCGGCAGGAATTCATTTGTCGCCTTTTATGAAGTGTCTGACCGTGAAATTTGATACAACCTCTGGATCATTAGTGACAAACGTCCACTTCATTCGTCCCTCTGTAATTGCGCCCGGTCCTCTATTCCCATACTCAAGATAGAATGGCTGAACTAACGACTCGGTTATAAATTCAACCCATCCTATTGGATTTATAAAATGGTCAATGTAACTTTGCATGACCACTGTCCTAGAGAAGTTACCTCACGGTCGACCTAAAAATGTAGTAACATTACCCATTTTCTCTAACTCCTGTGTTGCTTTTAGTGTGCAATTTTGCAGCACTATTCCTGTTGAGTAGTTCCCAAGTTCTCTCTGTTGTGCTGTGATTGTATTATATTGCTTGGGCAGTGGCAGGCGTGCTACAATTAAGCAGTTCTGGAACACAGCTGTTGCATCACCACAGATGAAATCTATGGTGCCAAATACTTCACAATCTCTGTAGAATTGTCAGCCCTCTTTTGTGTATAAGGTGTCTTGAAAGCCGTCGAAATGACAACTATAGAAAGTGAGATAGTCAGCTTCTGCTCTTAATGCTACTGCTTGTTGGTTCTCTCGTCCAGCATCGTTCCTAAATGTGATATCTTGGGCAATGAAGCCCTTCCCATTAACACCTAATTGAAATGAAACAACGAATATTCACATCCGTAAAATCTAGATAAAGGATATCCTACTTTGGCTTGAGCAACGTAACAATTGATCGCTTACCCACAGTAGCAGTGAGACTTGTCTTGATGCCATCACCACCGTAACTCTTATTCCCTGATATTACGGTATTGTCCATGCCTTCACCAATTAGGACTATGTTTGTTTTCCATTTATCTACTTGAATATATTCATAATACGTTCCTTGCTTAATTATGATGTAGTATTTATTTACACTGTTGTTTGGTGCTGAAATAATGGCATCTGTTATTGTGGTGTAATTCCCTGAGCCATCTTTAGCAACAATTGCGTGAGGTGTTTGCACTTGTTAGCCTTCACCACATAAAAGGAGTGGCAAAATGGCTATAGTTGCAATAATCCACATAGCTCCAGCTGACATTTTCCTGCACTTGATGAGCCATTACGTATCAGAATATAATGCAAGCCAGAAAAAATATTATAGAGTAGAATATACAATGAACTCAAGTTTAATTATGGTAACAGATTAGAAGATAGGCAACAATATTTAATAAACAAACGCTATATAACCTTGATTGCTTTTAAAATTTATCACTGACAGAAAACAGAAGCTACAAATTCTTTCGTGCTGCTTCTATAGAGAAAGTTAAGTATGTAGCTAACTTCAAATGTTAATGTTGTAGTAGTGGTGTTTCATGCAGATAATTTCACCCAATTTATAAGGCAAGTTTGGTTTCCATATTTGATTGTCTGCATGCATTAAAGGAATTACTTACATATTTTTCGTTCATATAAGTAATTATAGTATATTTTGCCTTAGAGAGGTAGTGTTTCTTATTTTAGATTCTTTTTTGGAGGAAAGAGGATGAATTAATACTCTACTAGTTAAATGATGTTAGTTGAATGGGAACTGAAATTATTTCTTATTTAGTATATGGACTTATTTGAATAAAAATGATAGCACGTAACACTAATTACAGAAGTGAATATTGATTTTTCTCTATGGAGAAATTGAATATGTTTTGACAGGATTATTCCTTTGGGGCGGAGCCATAATTCGACTTATGAGTTCGGAATAACTTAATAGCTTTGACCTAAACTTTGTATTTGTGTTTATAATTCAATTATTGTATATAAAGGATTTATTCAGAACCCCAAAATTTTAAAATCTTATATCCGCCTCTATCTACAATGTCATTGTGCAATCGTAGGAATATTTTCGTTCATACAGTAATTATAGTTTTTCTTGCTGATATGTAGCATTTCTTATTTTAGATTTTTTTTTTCGGAGGGATGAGGGAATTAGGAAAGAGTTAAATGACCATAAAAAATATTAAAATACAAAATTGGGGAAGTTACTAATACCTGGTCTATTTCCTAAATGGTTGTCATATTTTAATTAATATTTATTTTGTGTTTATTCTTATTTAGTAATATGTTATTAGTGTTATTATTTTCTGTTACAATACTAGCAGTAATAATAGAACTTCTCCTTATAAGAAAGAAAATCTTTATGCAAGTTTTACTCTTCTTCTCGTAAAAGTAATCTTCTTGCGTGTTCCCGTTATTATTTTTCTATTATCCCTAAAATGGTTTCAAGCATTATCGGTCTGTTTTTTAAACTGGTATAGTATTTTGATTAATTTATTAAGTATGATCTTTAGTCTAAATTAGATGTCTTTTATGTTTGTTAGATAATACTCCATGTACCTTTTGATTGTGACAGTTAACTTCCTTAATCTTAAATCAGTTGTCAAAATAAATTGGCCCGTTACTTATATTTTGAAAATATAAAAAATGGCTTTCAATTATAATGAATTGTTGTAAATTCTCTTTTGAAAAATAAAAAAGATAATCTCCAAATATAACCAACAATAATAATGTATAGAAATGAATAAATTCCATCTAACTGCCCTAATTAATATGTTGAGGTAAGGAAATAATATCTCACTAATCTTTTACACAAAGTGAAAACCCTTTGAACTATCATTTTCGTCTGGTTCCAAATTTATGAAATATCATGTCACCTATAAACTACATTTAACATTCGAAATTGTAACTTTTTATCTTCAAAATAATTGGCGATATAGTTGTCACGACCCGGATTTTCCACCCTCGGGAGTCGTGATGGCGCCTACTATTGGGAGCTAGGCAAGCCAAACATTAATTACTTTATCATTAACAACATAATTCTTTTTAATAATTTATCAGCATTAAAATAAAAGCAACTGATTTAACTAAATAAGCGGAAGTCTTAAATTAACGAAAAACTGAATGGAAATGCGGAAGAATTCAACATAAGCCTCTACCCAAGACTGGTGTCACAATACTCACAAACATCTAAGAATACTAAATACAATGTCTGAAAGAAATATATTTGTTTGTCTCGAATACAATGAGATAACAGTCTAAAGTAAAAGATAGAGGAGACGCCGGGCCTGCAGACGCCTGCAAGGCTACCTCGGTGTCTCGCTGGACTAAAGGCCTGCTCCCACGCTACTGTTGCTGCTGTCCAAAACCTGGATCTGTGCAAAATAGCACAGAGTGTAGTATCAGCACAACCGACCCCATGTGCTGGTAAGTGCCTAGCCTAACCTCGGCGAAGTAATGACGAGGCTAGGACCGGACTACCAATTAAACCTGTGCAGTTATATAATATACAGCGGAAAGTAAAGCAGGAATAAACAAGTAAAGATGGGAGAGGAAAACATGCTGCTGGGGGGTATACCAGTACTAACAGTAAATCCAGAGTAACAGTCTAAGGGCAGCTTAGAATTTACAGCGAACAAAGAAACTAATATCCAAAATAAACACACTTGTATCAATAATTGTTGCGGCGCGCAACCCGATCCCAATATATAACAACACTGTTGCGGCGTGCAACCCGATCCACAAATATCATTGTTGCGGCGTGCAACCCGATACATATCATTTAGCGTTGTTGCGGCGCGCAATCCGATCCATAAATATCATACAATTCACGGCATCACCCTTCGTGCTTTATCACTCTTCTTCATACAAACAACAATCACAAATAAGGGGCAAGAAAGTAAACAAATAATTATAGAAATTCCGGCAAGAGAATGCAATTAAACAATTAAATTCCGGCAAGGGAACAATATCAATAAATTTCCATGTCCCGGCAAGGGAGAAAATCAACAAAACAACAAAACGTCCCAGCAAGGGAATAAACCAATAACTCTTTCTCTTTCTTTCACTTTCATCTCATAGTTCACATTATCACTTGAGCCAACGCTCCAAGGATTTAAATATCTCATATACCTTCACAATTTGTATTTCAACTCGAGCCAACGCTCCACGAAGTTCAAAGATCACAATTTCCTTTCACATACTCTTTACAACATATAGAAATGTCACGACCCCAACCCCGGTCGTGATGGCGCCCAACACACTGCTAGGCAGGCCCGACCAATTTAACAACCTTAACCCTTTTTATGCAGTTCATGATTCAATTAACACGAATAATTACTAAGTCATAATACTGAAACTCTGAAATATAGTTAAAACATGCGAAAAACCCAAGTAGAAATACTACTACTACACAGCCCGAAGAATCCGGTGTCACAAGTCTGAGCCTCTAATACACGGGTGTCAACCTACTACATATTGCTCTAAAGAAATGCAGAAATAAAGACAATAGATTAGATGGAAAGATCAGGACTGCGGACGTCATGCAGCTACCTTGATGTTCCCAGATATGATGCTCGGCAGAGAAATCCTCACTTAGCCTCAGTGGTTGCACCTAGATCTGCACACAAGGTGCAGGGAGTAATGTGAGTACTTCCAACCCAGAGAGTAATAAACACATAAATAAGGGTTGAGAGTAAGAAATCCTGGATAGGCACAATGTAAGCTATAATTACAGCAGTTTAATCCAGATAATATCAACTCAATAAACCAATGAAAACAATGATGCTGCAACAGATAAGTAAATGAATGACAATCAATTAAGAAATGCAACAAATAGTACGGTACTCTCTAGTACCCGCTGCAGCGTGCAGCCCGCTCCATTTATTTATCGTCGACGGCGCTCACTGGGGGTGTGCAGACTCCGGGAGGGGCCCCTTACGGTCCAAGCGCAATATCAAGCCATCTCGTGGCATCCATTAGGCCCTAAGCCTCATATCAATATCAATATAATACTGCTGCGGCGCGCAGCCCAATCTCATACTCAGTCCAGAATCATGTAAGCCCCTCGGGCACAATAATATATAAATATTCAGCCCAAACTTCATTATAAATATTATTTAAGTTCCATGTTTGAGAAAAGTGGCTGAGTTTGCAAAACAGTATCAAATACTAGGACTGAGTTCAATTATATGTAAAAATGGTAAGAAACCAGTAAGAGCAATCCCTGAAGGATTCAATCAGTTGGCACGAGGCCAAATTATGACAATTGATCCATTTTTATAAGGATATCAACTAAGCTTCAATCAATTAGGTAGTAATTTTATTAAGCGGGACGGACCAAGTCACAATCCCCGATGGTGCTCTACCCCACGCCCGTTATCCGGCGTGCAAGTCACCTCACATAGCACTACAATGTGCAAATTCGGGGTTTCAAACCCTCAACACAGCATTTACATCTATTACTAACCTCAAGCCGGCCAAAATCCTAGCTCGCTATGCCCTTGCCTCTCAAATCGACCTCCTCGCACGTCGAATCTGACCAAAACCACAACGAATACGTCACATTATGCTATAGGATCAATACCCAATCGAAAATAATCGAAAAACATCAATAATCCCGAAATTGACAAAACCCGAGCCCCGGGCCCACTACTCGAAACTCAGAAATTTTTACAGAAAAGTGTTCTTCATCTTCTCCCGATTCCGTACATATAAAGAACACCAAAATCGGAGTCCGTTTGACCCCTCAAATCGACCCCTAAAGGTCTCATAATCTCAGGCCCCAAAATCCTATTTTTCTACTATTTTTCATGAATTAAAGGCTGGGATTATGGTCTATAATCACCCATAAACGAGTTTTAATAATCAAATCACTTACCTCTGTGATACCCACTGATTTTCTCTCTTAAAAATCGCCTCAGAAGCTTCTTCCCGTTCAAAAATTGGAAGAAAACTCGACCTGCTCATTATAGGTATAATGTTCACGCGTTTTACTCCTCCCAATGGATT